TTGACACAGATTGCTGATTTAATTATCCTTATCCTACACTCTTCTTCACCACTGAATACATTCTTCATCAATGATTTTGGCACAAAAAAACGCCAATAGCAAAAATCAGAAGAAGTGATATATATAGAGGAAAATAAGACGGTTATAAAAAATTAGTAGGATCATGGGTAGGTTGAGAAACTGATTGCTCCAGAAGAACCGCCGACTGTGAGGAACATGGAGAGAATGAGGAATCGTGGGACAACCGAAGACGGGAAGGGTGAGCAGTAACCTTCGATTAACCGTAAATGTGGAGTTATTACGGTCAGGATCAAAAGTTGAAGGAGTTTTAAGGTCAGGATTTTGACGACGGTTTTTCCACTCACCGTCCTCAATAGTATTAATAATATTGTTATAGCCAAATGCATTTTTGAAATATAAAACTAAAGTAACAAAATTTGAAAAAGTGCGATGAACAATAGATCAATAAAAATAGGGATAATGACTTAAAAGGGTAATGTATTTTTGGATTTGTACACATTTGGTCACTGAGTTTTTTTTCGTCCACATTTACTCTTTCAACTTGTTAAACTGTATACATTTAGTCCTTATGACCGGTTACTCCAGGTTAGCCGGGAAAAATGACTTAATAGGGTAATATATTTCTCATTTTGTACACATTTAGTCCTTAATATTTTTGTACATATTTAGTCCTTAATATTTTTTTTTGTTTCAAAATAAGTCATTTTTGTTTTTTTATTCATTCAGTACTTATGAATGATTTCTTTAGGTTTTTCTCACAACATCTTACGTGAGACAATCATTGATGAAGTGTGTGGGGCTGTTGATGTTTATGTGTAACGTCTCATTTTCACAACCAAAAATTTTCATTTTTAAATAAGGCAAAACTCTCTAATTATAAATCCATTATTAAGAAAAAACATTTATTCCAAAATACATTTATCGAAAATCAGAGTAATATAAGAAACACGAAATCCTCAATATTGTTGATGAGTGTGTACAGTCCTGCCTTCGCATTCCCATGATCAACGATAGAACCTGAAAACATAAACAACTGTGTAAGCACAAATCTTAGTGAGTTTTCCCCAAAATACCTCATACAATAAACGTATTATCATGCATAACGGGTTCACACTCATCAGATTGGAATACCTTGACCCAATCAGTCATCAGACTGAAATGCCAACATGCAACAAGTCCAATCAGTCATCAGACTGGAAAAACGCAGGGTTTGTTGGCCTGCCACCTTAACCAAACCGCTCTTCTCGAGCCTCCGTGATTATGGCTTACAGCCGGCTCACACCAGGTATCTTGGCCTACAACATTGTAACGCCCGCAGATTCGAGCTAGTCAATTTAGAGACAATAAGCATCAAAAATGAGTTTTTTATGGAAGATTATTTAGAAGGATTAATCTTAACCAAGTTGTAGTATATGTTACAAGGGTTCCATACATATAAAGAACACCGAAATCCGAGTTATAACGAAGAAGTTATGGCCCGTCGAAGTTTCGCGGCAAAACCGGCACGACACCGGGGAGCGTAAAAAGTGAATTTACGATAGAGCGATTTTTAGCCTTAGCAATCTAAACAAAAGTCATAGAATATGTTAAACCGAGAGCGTCCATAAAAAGAACGCCCAAATCTGACTTCGTATGAGGAAGTTATGAATTTTCTAAGATTTGGCTTATCAGTGAACAACCCGAAATTCGAATTTTAGATCGAGCGGTTTTTGGCCAACGCGACCTAAATGAGAATTGAAGATCTCATTAATAGGAACTCAACGACAAAAAGACAGACGAAAACGGAGTCCGTATGTAGAAGTTATGAATTTTACGTGGCCATTTAACAATATAATCTCCTCATACTGTTAAAATTAAAATCGGTCGAGAATTAGCCGACGGAGTCAAAATAAAAGTTGTATATCTTGTTTTTACGTACACGTGGATATAAAGAACGTCGAAAACGGAGCTCGTATGCGAAAGATATGGACGAAGCTTAGTCTCTACTTTTCGAGCGCGACGAATTCGATACAGTTTTGAAAATCCGAGATAGAATGAGAATTAGCCAACGAGGTCTAAATGAAAGTTGTAGTACTCGTAAATACCAACGCGTGGATATAAATAACATCGAAAACGGAGCTCGTATGCGAAATATATGGACGAAGCTTAGTCTATACTCTTCGAGCGCGATAAATACGATACATTTTTTGTAAATCTGAGATAGAATGAGAATATCCGACGGGGTCTAAATGAAAGTTATAGTACTCGTAAATACCAACGCGTGGATATAAAGAACGTGGAAAACGGAGAACGTACGCGGAAGATACGGGCGAAACTTAGGGACTACTCTACGATAAAACTCCTATAAATAAGAGATGAACTCTTCATAATTTCTTCACACCATAAGCCTTTCTTTCTCTCTCTAACTTCTCTATAGCCTCCCAAAACCCCTCCCAAGTCTAGGGAACCTCCCTAGAACGAGAAGGAAGCCCCGGAGCGCCCGAAGGCTCCGAGAAGAAAAGCTTTCGGCTCGGAAACGCTGCTCCAGCGAAGCCCAATTTTTTTAATAAAAACCCATTGTAAGTGAGCTACGCCTACACTATTTCTAATATAGCTTTTATTTAAATATAGTAATGTTATTAGGAACTTATAATAATTATTTGGGCTTTTATTATGAGTTATATAAGTGTCGTTATAATATCTTTTTAACCACTCGCGGTACGGGGAATCTGGTTTAAAGGGCCGCATAGGGTTGTTGGATTTCAGAAGTGCTATATGCCAAAATGGTCATGCCCTCCGGTGTTTTATGTCTGGCCCCTGTCTGTACATAGTAGGTGAAGAGTATTGTTTAACGCTTATATAATAGTAATAATAGCTAGACTATTAATTAGTCTCGGTGAATATTAGACTAAACCGTAGTGGTAATGATACTAAGTTTTGTCGAAGAAAATTGTTTTAAGAGTAACAAAGCGCTGTCTGAGTTCGGAATCACCACCTTACCAGGTGAGTGCATAGTTACTTTCATCTTACACATAGATATGAAGTATTTTATATAAATTACGTGCTATGTGTGCATATTATCTGTATACTTGCTATCTATGTTGGATGAACGATGTTATACATGTTTTAAATGATTTAAACTGTATATGTATTTTATATCTACAAAATGTGTTGGGTAAAACATGGGTAGATGTAATAGTTGCTGTGTGATAAAATAAAATAATGAGAGGCCTCGATGTTATTGATGATCCAGTCATCTAGCGGAGTACAAATGACGACCACAGACTATTCTAGACAGTCCAGTGGAACGCTAGCAGGGTCGCAACCTGTAGGTGTTTATTTGAACTGTGTGCTCACCAGCAGTACTCCATCCCCCACATGGTTGCCTTATTTGACATGAATTGCTGAGGAACCCCCAAAGCATGTGTTGTCGCCCCGATGAAAATCCTTAAGCTAGGTCCCTTGTGTTAGATGTTTTAGGGACGTAAAGTGAGGATAACGGGAACGGGTAATCGAGTTTGTTTGGTTGATGAAAATAATAAAATTATTTATTGTGGATTGAAAACCCTATGTGCTCACCAGGCTCCCAAGCCTGACCCACTCAGTTTCTTGTATTACAGGTAGTGGTGTACGAGCATAGATACGATGTTTGGGATGAGAGATTACAAATATAGGCCTGTAGATATGAATAAATATCGTAAGACTTATATTGTACTGTTTATGCTTTTGATATGTATCGAACATGACATCCCGAGGTTTTTAATGAAATACATTTCTTTGGAAATGCTTTGATAAATCTTTATCATATTTTATTTTGGGAACAAATTCCGCAACACTTTTATTTAAAATGTTACTCTGATTTTCAAACAAAGCATAAACAAAATCGGTCTTTTCTGGCCATGAAAAATGGGGATGTCACAAACATATAACATGACCACCTCAACCTATCCCATCACCATATGTCTATCCTACGTAAGATGTCGTGAGAAAAACCTAGAGAAATCATTCATAAGTACTAAATGAGTACAAAAATAAAAATGTCTTATTTTGCAATATATATATATATATATATATATATATATATATATATATATATATATAGGGCTAGGTTATTTTGTTTCTTACATTTACTGTGTGCTAGAATGCACCAATAGAAATTTAGTAATTAATAATTATTTAATTAAATAAATATAGATATTAAATGATTTCCATAATTATATGTATATTAAATGATATCCATAATTATAATTCTCTTTTTATGGAAACTAATTAAATCCGTCATTAATGTCAGCAATAACATTTTTTCAGAATGAATTCGCATCTAAGTTTTTATATATGAATTCGTATTTTGTTTCAGGACTCACTCACTTAAAATACAATAAAATTGCATGGAATATGAAGAACAAGAGTGTATTCTACTAGAATACACTCCCATTCTGCTGGAATACACTCCCATTCTTCTAGATATGAATTCATTCTGAAATAATATTATTGTTGACATTAATGACGAATTTAATTAGTTTCCATAAAAATAAGTTATAAGTATGGATAACATTTAATACTAAATTCCTATTGGTACATTCTAGCACACAATAGATGTGAGAAACATTTGAACCTACCTTCTCTCTCTCTCTTTATATATATATATATATATATATATATATATATATTAAAGACTAAATGTGTACAAAAATATTAAAGACTAAATGTGTACAAAGTGAGAAATATATTACCCTATTAAGTCATTTTTATCGAATAACCTGGAGTAGCCGGTCATAAGGACTAAATGTGTACAGTTTAACAAGTTGAAGGGGTAAATGTGGACAAAAAAAACTCAGTGACCAAATGTGTACAAATCAAAAAATATATTATATTATCCTATAAAAATATACTATTATTTGTTACATTGTTGTTAACTTTTGGATTAAAGTAGTAATTATTTAATTTAATAATAGTCAACAGGAATATTTTAAATTGTTTACGCACCTCGGCAGGTGCTACTTGCTAGTAATAAGCCAACTCGTTACCCCAATGCCCGATCTGAACATCTCTCTCGCTTTCGCGCTTGCATAATCTTTTGAAAATAGCTTTTAATCACACACATTTAGGGCTCCGAGACATGGAATCGGATCTTCCATTGATGGAACTGACTGAAGAAGACGATTCTCTTATCCAACCGTTTCCAGATCCCAAGCAAACACCTTCGAAATCATCATTCAATTACTTTAATTGCTCGCCTCTCGCACTTCCACCTTCACGCACCAGTAAGTATCTACCAGATTTTTAAAATTTTGTGCAATAGAAGTAAAATTTCATCTACATTGCTTGAAACGATGTTTAATGATGCTTTACATTGTCTCAAATATGACTCCCTTTCGGTTCACATTTTCCCCTTCCAGGTTCGTTTATGGGGTTTAAGTCATTGGGTTTGTTTGGTTAGTTAAGTTTGGTCTGATCCTGATCCTGTTTTACGATATGCAAGTTAAATCGATGATTTGGGCATTCCAGAATTCCCAGCTGTTATGCTTAGTATTATTACTGATTTTTTTTTTTTTCGATACAATTTGTTCTTTAAAATAAGTAAATACCATGTTGTCAGTTAGTCACAACTATACTCGTCGGCTAAGTTTTATCTTTTTATCTGGTCATGGACACAAAACGACAGTTAAATAATGATGTTCATTCGCATTGCAGAAAGTCTGAAAGATGGTGTTCATACAGAGAAACCTAGCACTTCATCTTCTGAAGCTAGCAACAATAAAGAGAATATAAACTCAAACAATTTAGAAATGCCAAAATTAGGTATGGGACCTATCCAAATGAAGAGGAGAAAGAAGGGAGCAGAATGCAATTTGCGGAAAAGCTTAGCATGGGATAGAGCTTTCTTTACTGATGAAGGTTGTCCTATTTCCCTTTTTTGGTATTAAATTTCAAAACTAGATTATGTTTTTGGATTCCTCATTCTTATGCTTTTGATGAATGATATGAGATTATGAGTAAATGAGTAATAAACACTCTCTTCATATCATAGGCATTCTTGATCCTCGTGAATTGAACATGATTACTGGTATCAATGCTTACACATGTGGAAGGGGATTGCCTACTATAAGTGAAGAGGGAAATAGCTCATTTCCTTCAGGTAGCAGATGTAGAAATGAACCCAATCATATGGAGACCTCTAAAGAAGCTCTACTTAAAGAGTTACATAACAAGAGTCGCACATCAAAGGGAAACAAAGTGGGAAATCATGATTCTTTACCTCATCATAAAGTATGTTGAGTTGTTTTTCCTTGTTAAGAGTCTTTCTTGAAACTATTATCCTCTTTGTATCTAGCTTAGATGAGTTGTTTCTCATTTTCAAAAAATATGATGTTTGCAGATTACACACAAAGTTCTCTTAACTGATCATTCAAATTCAAATAGAACAAGGTCCAAAGTTGGTGTCTGTTCAGCCCCTTCACCTGTATCATCATATCCTTTTTGTGTTTCAGCAAGATAAGACTTTCACTTTCAATAACAAATTAAATTGGTTTGACCTTTGACCTTTGGGATACATTTGACCTATTCATGGTTGTGAGCCTTAACGCTTGTACTTTGAAAAGGCCAAATTCAAACATTTTGAGAACAACAAAAAAGGAATCCAAGCTTCCTAAACTACCCATGTCAAAACTCGGATCTTGCTCTTCTACAAAGGGTTCTATAACAACAAGCCAATTGAGGCATAATCTGATTCCTAAACCACGTAAGTGTTAATGAATTCTGGAGCACATTTTTATATATGTTCTAATACTAATTAATTGTTTGTCTGAATTTGTTTTTCTTTTCTCTTTTTCTTCCTGCAGCTATAAATGCTCAGAAGAATGTTGGGTTGAAAAGCTCCTTAAAAGACTTTAAAGCAAAAACAGGATTAGACAACTCCCATTCTAAAGAGCTAGCTCAAAAGACTGTAAATTTTTTGGTAAGAAAATAGATGCTCTTTCCACCTTTACCCTTTCAGAAGTAACTATATAAAAACACAATATTTTGGAAGTATGACTCCATTGAAGTTTGAATCTGTAAGTAACTAAGTGTTGTAACATGATCCTTTTAATTTGTGTAGACACACTCATCTTCTAAAGCAACTTCTTCAACCAAATCGCAGTTTGTACATGTTGACAAAGCTAATAGTGGGTTAGAAATGGTTCCAGATAGATTGCATTCAGGTGAAATTCATGACGAATCTACCCCTCTTCCAGCTAAAACTCTACCTCAATATACTCCAACAACTTCAGTAAAGGTTCTAGTCTTTCCAATGTTTTAGTATTACTTCTCAAATTTCTAGTTCTTACTTCTTAATGCTATTTATGAAATTCGTGAAATGAAGTAATTTGGACTTTAAATTACTACAGAACAACTCATTGCCTTCAGGATTAAGATTGCCTTCACCTTCACTCCGATTCTTTGATCAGGTAATTTTCCTTTTTTTTTTTTTTTAATATTTCGATTATGAAGATGTAAAAATATCCATAAGTCATTTTATTTAGGCTATGTTTGGCGTACTTGCTGAAAAGCTAACTGTTAGCTGAAAAGCTAGCTGTTAAATAAAAAGCTAGCTGAAAGCTGAAAATCTAGCTGATAAAAAATGACATTTGGTAAGACTAGCTGAAAAGCTAGATGAAAGATATAAAAAAAACATAAAAAGGCATTTAAAAGAATGTGTTTCTATAATTAATTAAGGGGTATATTTGGAAAGTTTTTAAAAAGCTCCTAAAAAGCTAGTCTAAGTAGCTTTTTAGCTGAAAAACTAGCTGATAGCTGATAAATAAAAAACTAGCTGATAGCTGAAAATTCAGTTGATAAAAAATGACGTTTGGTAAAACTAACTGAAAAGCTAGATGAAAGATATAAAAAGACATAAAAAGGCATTTAAAAGAATGTGTTTCTATAATTAATTAAGGGGTATATTTGGAAAAATTTTAAAAAAGCTCTTAAAAAGCTAGTCTAAGTAGCTTTTTATAAGCTACTTTTTGGCTTGCCAAACATGACAACTTAAAAAAGCTCGAAAAATAAGCTAGCTGTAGCTCACCAAACACAACCTTAAAATCATTTGTTTCTCTTATGTGTGATTCAGACAACAGCTACACCAAAAACACTGAGTGGACAATGTTCTGTATTAAATTCTCATACTACCCCTTGTGGTAGTCCATCATCCAATTACATGGTGAACAAAGGGGTTTTAAATTCAAATGTATATCAAGATATAGTGAGAAAAATGCAATACGAGTGTATTAGTGCTTCTGATGTTGACTCACATAAGGTCATTGAGCAAGAGAAAAGAATCCTTGAACACAAGGGCAAAATGGGAATTGAGCAGATTGCATTGAAGGGTAATGAGGAGAATAGAGAAGGCATGAATGCCAGCATTCAATTGTCTGAAAATGATGAAAGAGTTCCTTTTATTCTTGAAACAAAAGATGATCATATCTCCACTTCAGTGTCTACATCTGAACAATCCATTCAGCATCAAGAACATAATCTTTTGACTATGGTTGAAGTGGGCCCATGTGAAATTGCAACTGAGATTAATGATCATCTTTTGGTAGAAGAAAGTGGCTCAACTTATTCAAGTACTTATCCACAGAGTTTGGATATAATACCAGTAACAATTGAAGATGAATTTAAAAACAATAATGAAAATCAGAAGCATCAAGAAATGGGGATAATTATTGAGAGCATGTTAACAACTACAGATAGGGTACAAGCTGAGGTGTCAAAGATAAGCTTTGGGGAAGAATTTGAAACTGAAGTGAAAGTGCTTCAAGAAACAAAAAGTCCAACAATGTTGAAGTAAGTAGCTTTAAGCCCAGTTTTTGACTTGTTTATACTTTATAATCTTGATAACTCATCCCTAATTTAGAGGAAAAATTGTTAAACTTCAATCTTGATTTGTTGTTATTAGGAAGAGGTTAAATAACATCAAGAGGAAAGATAACTCTTCAATCAAGCATCCAACAAATGCTATTGAAGCTGTTGATGAGGTAATATAACTTCACCAAATAGAGTAAAGAGTAAATTACACGAATGGTCCCTATGGTCTGGGGTAATTTGCATGTTTGGTCCCTAAATTATTTTTTTAACTCGGAAGGTCCCTACAGTTTGTTTTGGTTGTGCGTTTGGTCCCTATCTTACCTAAAAAGACTATTTTGCCCTTGATTTTTTAATTTTTTTAAATAAGGTAGGGTAGGTAAGGTAAGGTAAGGTGTGGTGGAAGTGGAGTTGAGTGTGTGTTTATTTAAATACATTAAAAAGTCAAGGGCAAAATAGTCTTTTTTGTCTTAGACAGGGACCAAGCGCGTAACAAAAACAAATAGTAGGGACCTCCCGAGTTAAAAAAATAAGTTAGGGACCAAACGCGCAATTACCCCAAACCATAGGGACCATTCGTGTAATTTACTCTTAAAAGAAACAACACCTTGCTTCAAATGATAACTAATGCACTATTTACTTATGCAGGATCTTGTTGAAACATCAAAAAGGGAACAATCTGATACCAAAAAATCTAATTCTTGTAAGGTTAATCATGTGGAGTCCCAGAGGGGTGAAATTGGAAAAAAAGAAGATGATGTTGGAGCCACAACTCCTTGCATTTCTGCTTTGATGAATTCTCAGTTCCATGAAGGGCATTATGGTAATTTCGTTATGCCTGAAGAAAGCTCAGGTTTACACACAACTGAGGTTAATGATCATATTTCTCAAGAAAAAACTGTGAATCCAAATGTTCTTCAAGAAGAAAATAACAAAGAAGCAACAGTGTTGATGTAAGTATGTTTGAGCAACTTATAGATTTTTTTATTTTTATTATTATTATTATTTTTTTTTTTCAGTTTTTGAATTTGATTCTTGGTTTGTGGTTGTCAGGAAGAAGTCAAATAGCATCAAGAAGCAAGATAAAAAAGATGATGCTGCTAAAGTAGTTGATGAAAGTTCTTTACCTATGGAAGATGATGCTAGATGTAATACTGATACTAGCTCAAACTATTCAAGTGATATGCTTATGAAAGTAGAAATTTTGGAAAAAGAAAATGAAATGCATCACAAAATAGGGATAAATATTGGGAATATAAAACAAGGTATTATTATTCATGGATGTGACTTAGAGAACTCAAAGATAAGCTTTGGGGAAGAAGTTGAAGAAGCTCAAGTTCACCATGAATTGGATAATGGGAGCAACCTTAAAAAGAACAAAGATGCAACAATATTGATGTAAGTAGCTTTAAGCAACTTGTAAATTTATTTATTTTCTCACTTTTTGACTTTGATTCTTAATTTGTTGGTTTCAGGAAGAGGTCAAATAACAACAAGAAGCAAGATAAGTCTTTGGTCATACATCAAGAGGTAATATAATCACTTTGACTTACTTATTTTTTTAGTTTCCATTAACTGCTAAATGAAAAAAAAATAGTTTATTTATTTATTTATTTATTGGAGTAAGTGATGTATGAAAAAAATTGTTTCTTTTTAGACTGAATAATGATAAAAATGGAATTCTATTTTATCATGGCATGATAAATAGCTTAAACCGAACATAATTATTAATCACAATATCATTTATAATTTTTACTGAACATAATATTTGATCACAAATTCAATATGTTAAAGACATCTCAAAAAATGACTTTATATAATATTCACCTTTTCCTACATTATCATATATTGAAAACCCTATTAAAGAATCTATAGCTTCAGTTCAAAAGCATTATCTAGTTTTAGTGACTACATCATACTTTTTCCAGCCTGTTTTTTTTTTTTTTTTTTTTTTTTTTTTTTTTTTGTTAAGTACTTTATGGATTAATTGCTGAATAGATAAATGATTGCTGTATGAAATAGGTGTTGTATACACAAAATCTGTTTCTTTTTTAGTCTGAATGAACTTTCCTTGAATACAATAAATGACTATTTTACCCTTTTGTTAAAAACTAATGGTGAATAACAAATGAATTTTATTTCAAAACTATCATATAATAAAATCACAAATAGTTGTTTATTTAATATTATTGCAATTAATTTTTAAATATAATTATAATTATCTACAACATAGTTAAAAACTAAAAAATAAAATATATAAGGGAAATCTGCAAAAATGTCCCGTTATTCCAAATTCTAAAGTAAGTCAAAAAAAAAATTGTCAGGTTTTTAAACATGAAATTGTAGGAGGTTGTATTGAAACTTTTAAAAATAAAGAAGGGTAATATTGTAAAAACGAAACAACCTTCTATTATATCCACGTGCATTAATTTTTATATCGATTATTTAAGTTTCTTAAGTTTAAAAGAAACAACACCTTACTTCAAATGATAATTAATCCCTATTTACTTATGCAGGATCTTATTCAAACATCAAAAAGGGAACAATCTGATGCCAAACAATCTAATTCTTGTAAGGTTAATTCTCAGTTCCATGAAGGGCACTCTGGTAATTTCATTGTGCCTGAAGAAAGCTCAGGTCTACACACAACTGAGGTTAATGATCATATTTCTCTAGAAAAAAATGCGAATCCAAATGCTCTTCAAGAAGAAAATAACAAAGAAGCAACAGTGTTGATGTAAGTTTCTTTGAGCAACTTGTAGGTTTATTTTCTGTTTTTATTTTTTTATTTTTGATTTTTGATTTTTGATTTTGATTATTGGTTTGTGGTTTTCAGGAAGAAGTCAAATAACATCAAGAGGCAAGATAATAAGTCTTTAGTTGTAGATGCTGTACCCTTCTCTGATGAATGGTTAGCAGCTATTGAAGCTGCTGGAGAGGTAAATGACCATTTTACCCTTTTGTCTAGAATCAATGCCAAATATAATTGACTGTTTTTTTTTTCTGAGAACTGTTAAAAAACTGAAATTGTAATATATATATATATATATATATATATATATATATATATATATATATATATATATATCCCTCTCCCCCATTAAGTGCCTTATGGTTTAACTGCTGAATGGATAAATGACCATTTTACCCTTTTGTCTAGAAGCAATGCCAAATATTTTGACTGTTTTTTCTGAGAACTGTCATAAACTGAAATTGTAAATTACAAAACTAAAAAAATTGAATTTCTTCAAATCCAAAATGATATTTTAATCCTAACAAAACTGTATATAATACTTGATCACAATATCATTGATAATTTAAGATAAACCCATAATATCTAAGAAGCTTAAATACAAATGTTGAACTCAAAATTGATTAGCAAATATCACTAATAATTTAAACTAAACATAATTACATAATATTTCTTCACAGATTTAATAAGTTAATACAAACACAAACGTTTAGAAATAATAACTTGTTTCCTTTCTTTTTAATCATGTTCTTTTTATAAAGAGAAAGACCGGAAATGTTTCTCTTTGATACCCTGATGAATACATGATAATTTAACATTGTAGATGATTTTATAACTTGTATAAATGGTTATAAAGTATAACAGTATGTTTATATTTTATAAAGATCCATTTTATAAAAATAAAAATGATATGCATAATTTATACAGGAAATCCTTACCATGAAGTGTGGGGCTGTACAGCATTCGCCTCCAGATAAATCTATTCCTGAACGAAATCCATGGTCTCCGGTATGACTCCATAATCCTAAATATTATTTTTTTCTTAAAAAAAATATATAATAAATTTATTTATATATAAACCTAGCAATAAAAGTTGGCTTCTACTATACTGTATATATATATATATATATATATATATATATATATATATATATATATATATATATATATATATATGATGTGTTCTTTTTTAAATGGATTTTCAGGTGAAAAATAAAGCTAATCAGATTGGGCCTTACGACTGCACAAAGTACACAAATGCAATGCCCTCAAATCCTCATTTATTGGATTCATAGTTTGTTTTGAGTTTGATGCATTTTTTTTAATAATAAATTTTTAATCTATCTTTCCTTTCCTCGTAGAAATGCATCAGTAAATACTTTCTTTCCCAAAATATACAAAAATTGTTTCTTCCAAAATAATGTTTAATTACCTTTTACAGATACAGAAGAAAAAATACAACGTAGTTTCACCATTATCACTGAACTATTGATTTGGTTAAGAAACTGTTGGTGTAATAATAATAAGAAGTTATAGTTTAATGATTAAATTGATAAAATGATGAATTTAACTTTTTAAAGAGTCAAACTAGTATGATGTTTTGTTTAACAACTACAGAAAATAGTTAACATGCTAAAGCAATAAGATGATAAAAGATTAAAAGTCCAATGATTTTATTATTATTATTATTATTATTTGGTATTTTACACTCAAGAAAATAATTCTATAACAAAGTCAACGGATAGAGTTCTATGGGTTTGCCTTAGAGATTCAAGATTAAAAGTACTTTTGAAATGCAAATGGGTGAACCAAAATTACAAATTATTCCTGCCCTGTATAACATCATGTGAGATGTAAATCTTGTGAAATGTAAATCTAGTATTTTGGTACTTGAACAATCATGCACAAACAAAATGCCACCCCAATAAAAACTGCCACTATTGTTGGCGTTGTGCTCTTAAGCAACTTTGGAAACTCTTGATAGGACACTTGTCCTGGAAAATGAAACACCTCTGCCACAACCACCACCACCAACTGTGACATAGGCCACATCACTGCCATAAGTGCAACCACGTTGCCGCTAAGCCCATGGGTTTGAGCTGTATTGAGTTGTCTTGACTCAACCATTGCCGAGATGGCCATGCTTGATATGGTGAGAACATGACCTCGCCCTATTTGTTGTAGAGGTGTTGGGGACTGACCAATGAGGTTTTGCCACGTGGGAATTAGGAAGTGGTCGAACACTGTGAGGGCAATGGAGATGGTGAACAGGAAGAAATCGGTCATATTTCTGATAGGGATTTGGAAGTGGGGCCTGATATGGTGGTCCATGGCTAAGGCTTGGAGGACTATTAGACTCATTTGGACGGTGATTGGGGTGCGTAGTAGGTTTCATGTGGAGTCGCCTTCGGTTAGTAAAGTTGTGTGGTTTAGAAACCTATAACATGAAAAGAAAAACGAAATTATCTGTTAGCAGAGTTCTAAGTCCAAAGTTATATACCGGTCTAATAACCTTTTAATCAATTTAAAAATGGGGCTAGCCCATTTGACTAACATGATGTCTAGCAAAACTTTTCTAACAAGGAGATCATGAGTTCAATATTATATACTAACTCGTTAAAAAAAAACATATGGAATGAGTTGTCATAAGTCTTATTTGCTTATTAATTTTGCTTGTACTAAACATAAATTCAAGTCCATGTCTCACATTGTTTCAAATTTGAGTATAATGACAGAAAGGTTTTAATTTTTGTTTGATTGACACTAGTTTAAGGTTCAATCCACCACATAAATGAATGATATGTAGTCGAGATCCGTATCATTGATGAGTTTGCTTTAAACACTCATTGTGGGCTTTGCTATATTTCTCATTATTTTATCATATTGATCGTAGTTTCTAAAAAGGGAAATATCATATTAACCCATAAACTTATCATGTTTGTTTTAAAATGTCATCTTATTTTTCTTTTGTACATTAAGGGAACCAACTCTCATATGACCGTTTAATAAAGTCTGTTTACCGATTGTAAATGATTTAAAAGATATTTTGGTGACGTGACCTCCATAGTGGAACGTGAATCGACAAATGAAATAGACTTATATAAAACAATTTAAACAAAAAGGTAATGCACGTGGCCATTTCATTAAATGACATGGCAGCGACATTTCTTCCGTGACACGTATATTACTTTTGAACTCGGTATCAGGTCACATAAGGATATTTTAAAATAGGAAAATGTAAATTCATTCCCTTAAAGTACAAAAAAAGTTGGACGACCTTTTAAGATAAACGTGGGATGGGCTAATATGATATTTTTTCTTTATAAAACAACGGATTTATGTTGTGTTTTATGTTTTATAATTATAAGAAAAATATCTTAATATTTTCAAAGGATTTGAGATTTGTTTTACCTTAAAAATTCCACAGTATTAAAATAAATTAGCTAATATGTCAAGGAAAATAAGACAAAATTTCACAAATAGTTATTATGGTTTTCATTTTTTTTTTTCTTAAAACTATGAATTTTTTTTTTTTGGGTGAATGGTCCCTTTAGAGCAAACCTGACGTACCGGTAGTCCTTTGGATAGATGTCTATTAGATGAATCCGTTAAGTTGAAGGAATTTTAGATAATGACAATTTCTGTCATTTTGTGAAACTTCGTCGGAGAACCATTTGTTAAATTTTAAATTAAAAAACCTATGTTAATCATGATTAATTATTTTAGCATGTGTAACAAGGTAGTTCATTTTTCTTTGAAAAGTTTATATCTTTATTAAGGAATATATTCAAAATTTGATTGAACTAAATAATTTTTTAAAACTAAATATCAAAAATTTATATCGAACTAATATAAATTTATCGTATTTATATTATGAAACCAAAACTGTATACTTATATCTTTAAAATAAAATAGCAGCATACTATTATTTTTATAATAACACATCATAATTTTTCATAAAAATAAATATATTTGTATAAGAAAAATAAAGATAAATCTTGAAAATTACATTAAGTAAAAACTAAAAATTGATAAAATGATGTTTTTATACTTCAACTTTTTTAGATAATGTGACATCCCCTATTTTCCCGAATCGAAAAAACATTTCTTTATGCTTTCAAAACACATTGCCTTTGTTTGTGAAAAATCCCAGTATATTAAACATTTTAAGTACAACTGTTATTTCAAAATAACAAAACCCTAAGGATGTCATACTCAATATACAACATAAGTTACAACGTAAAGACCTATCGGATTTATTGGGATTTACGACTTAGTTACTGGTGGTCGTGCATGAAGAGGGAAATAACCTGATATGTTGAGAGGTGCTTGACATGTCGGATGGTCAAGGCCGAACACTAGATGCCGCATGGCAAGCTTCAGCCTTTGGAGGTTCCCATGTGGAAATGGGAACATATCACCATGGATTTCATCACCAAGTTACATTGGACGGCTAATGGGTTTGATGTGATTTGGGTTATAGTGGATCATCTGACCAAGAGTGCCCATTTTCTAGCTATTCAGGAGAGCTCCCCGGCTGAGAAATTGGTTGATGTTTATGTGCGCGATATTGTCGCTCGGCACGGTGTTCGAGTTTGTATTGTATCCGATCGAGATGTTCGATTCACTTCTCGGTTTTGGCAGAGGTTCCATGAGGAACTGGGTACGAGGTTGCACTTTAGCACTACTTATCATCCGCAAAATGATGGCCAGAGCGAGAGGACCATTCAGACGCTCGAGGATATGTTGCGAGCCCGTGTGATCGATTTCGGAGGGAGTTGGGACTCCTACCTTCCCTTAGCTAAGTTTTCTTACAAAAAAAAGTTGTCACTCCAGTATCGGCGTGACGCCGTTTGAGCTTCTCTATGGGAGGAAGTGTCGTACCCCAATCTGTTGGGGAGAGGTTGGTCACATGGTCATGAGAAAGACCGAAGTAGTTCTTCAGAAGACAAAGCTTATCCAGTAGATTAAACAGAGGTTGCAGACAGCTCATAGTTGACAGAAGAGTTATGCCGACAGACGTCGATCTGAGTTTGAGTTCCAGGTCGGCGATATGGTTTTACTGAAGGTATCACCCTAGAAGTGTGTAATACGCTTCAGGAAGAGGGGAAAGTTGGGGCCCTGTTATATTGGGTAGTTCCGAGTGATTTCCAAGGATAGCAGGGTTGCCTATTGATTAGATATGCTTGAGGAGCTTAGTCAAATTCACAACACTTTTCATGTTTCTCAGCTTCAGAAGTGTGTGGCTGCCGATTTAGCGGTTGTTCCTTTGGATGATATTCTAGTTGATGATCTCCAGAACTATGTTGAGAGACAAGTGGCGATCATGGATTGGAAGACGAAGGCCTTGCGTAACAAGGTGGTACCTTTGGTCAAGGTCCAGTGGCATCATCAGAAGGGTTCCGAATGGACTTGGGAACCCGAGGCAAAGATGCGAGAGCATTACCCTGAGTTATTCACAGCAGCGGACTTCGAGGACAAAGTCTAATTTAAGTGGGGGAGAATTGTAACATTCATGATTCAGGTAATTTACATTTTTTCCCCTTAATATGAGATTTTGTTGCAAAATTGGTCCTATGGTGGATTAATGAGGAAATCGCCTTTTGCCTAGTATGTTCGACGTACTCCTTATATGTTGGGTGTACGTGGCTGAAGGCCAAACCCTAAGTTTTAGGGTTTGGACCCTATTTAAACATTACTAACTCCCAAGACCTCTTCCTCTCATCAGCCTCCAACCCCATGTTGTATCTTGCAAACCTTAATCCACCTTTGTGAGCATTTTAAGCCTTAGAGTGTGTTGTTGGTGTTCTTGAAGGAGGAAGAAGGAAATGGATTCACCTTAGAAGCTCAAGATCTCTTTGGATCCATAAGCATCTTTCCCTCAAGCTTTATTTAGAGATATAAAGCTCTAAACTTGTTGGTTATTTCAATAGATCTTGCTAGATGTGGAATTTGTGCTTTTTAGCCCCATAATATTGGTCCATTTGTGTATCAGCTACTCTAGACCAAAGGAGTTGTCCTTTTGGATGTTTTAGAGTGTCTAACATGATAAAAATGTGATCTTGGCCCTTCTAGTCCTTCCATGCAAAGTTTATGATGTATTTTTGGGTTAAGAAGTTAGGGTTTTAAGGTTTGGGCACTTAATAGCCATGCAAAGTCATAAAGTTGGAAACTTTATGATTTAGAACACTATTTAGGACTAGATTTGGGCTTTGGACGAAAGGACTTAAGGAAATAAGCACTTAATGGAAGATTTCTATTTGATCGCGTACGTTAGACGTACTTCCGAGTACGCTGCACGTACGCAATGGAGTCCCAGTTTTTTGGATCAGTGAGTACGCAGTGTATACATTTTGAGTACGCTGGGCGTACTCAGCCTGAGTTGACTC